ATCTAATAATTTACAATTAGATTATGAGCTCAAGATTTCTATCTATCAACTTTCACGCATAGACATAGAGAGCGAATAATCTACTTGTTTTAGTATAAATCTACTCGTCGTTCAAAATTTCGCTAAATCCTCTTCACAGACACTTCAAAAACGCCAAGAAGCGGCCATCTTTTTGTTGACAAGGGCACACTGTTACGCTACCCACTATCACAGAACAGATAGTGAGTAGCGTAGTTAATCAGAGAACGGCATTCGTGACAGAGCGCTAGTAGATTTATACTAATACTGAATATAACACAGAGAAGCATATTAAATAGTTTATAGGAAGCTTTAATACACATCACTACTAACTCGACGTTATTTTGTATCACTAATCAGTGCAAATATAACCTTTTTTTTTACCCAAACGTGTTACAACTTTCCACAAGCAAAGCAAAACAAAGTTGTGAAATGAAGCCGAAATTAAAGCTCAAGAGTTAAGTAACAGTGACACAGATACAAAAGCCCGTCACCAAGTAAGCGGTCAAAGGACAACTTCGTACGCGACGAAGACTCTGAACTTTGCTCGAAGCGTTTTAATAAACCATACATGAATTAAGAAACTGGACGAAAACAAGGAGAGCAGCGATATTTTGAGACTGAAACTTCAAGTAGTTGTTGCCAAGGTGTACGAAAATAACATTGACTGTCGGATAATTCCAAAGCGAAAGGAGAAACGCTTTATCAGCTTTTATCGTCAGTACAGTGTCTGGGTCTCCATTAACAAATTTAGTTAAATGTACCCATAAAAATCTTGAAGATTGTTGCTAATCTAATTCATGGATCAAAAAGGAAACACTGTGTCTTAAAAAGGAGCAAAATTCAGCTGTCAGGCGTTAAGAAATTTCAGTCGCCATTAGTATGATGAAAATGCGCTTAGTCAACGTTCACAGCTAACCTTGCTACACGTACCTCATTTGTGCGTTTCCAACGCTTCCTCACCAGCAGAAGTCGGTACTGACCAGATAAAAACAGCCTCACTAAAGTGCATAGGTAAGATTGAAAGTACGGTACCGCTTACACACCCAAAATCATCGTTCCATGATCACAACAGCTATGTACAGGTAAACAAAAAGATTGATATTTTTGGGCGCCAAGGTTCGTTTCATATTTTCGGAAGATTTTGATTGGATCATCCAGGACAGACACTGCTCATTCATTGGTCAACAAATTATCATTATGTAAGAGTACACGAAGCTTTTCGTACACGTAACTTCTTTTGTTTTCCTTTTCGTGAGAAAAGTATTATATAATACAGTGATTAGGTCGCTAAACGTCATCTATTAAAATAGACTAATAAATAATGGTTCTTACTACCGTTATGGAAAAAGAGATGTTTATGCAAATTTCATACTCCCAGAATTCTCTATTTTCCAATGGCCCTTAATTCGCTCTCTTTGCCCCTCAAATTTTGCATGAACTGTTGTTGTGAAATGCTCTTGGGAGGTCTGCATATTCTCAAGAGCATTTCACAGCAATAGTTAACGCAAAATTTTGGGCGCAGACAGGGTGAATTATGGGCAATTGGAAAATAGAGAAGATAAAATTTACAAATATCTGAAATATAAATGTAAAACCTCGTTCAAAGGTCTCCAAAGGGCGTTGGTTCACGTAGGTATGCAATGCGTACATGCAGCACACGAACATCGGCCTGTGGTCATAAAGGGAAATGTCTTCGGTTTACTGGGTTTATTTTTCCTTACACATGAGCAAGTTTTCCAGCATAGTGACACTGTAAGCTCCAGATATCTCCCGTCTGTTTATAGCAACACATAAAGACCGTGTTGTACAAATACCGATATTTCTTTGATCAATCATTCACTCCCGGGATTCACTCCATGACGTACTACAATAAAATCACATTCCATCGGCTCTATCTTTCAACAGCCTGGCCATTCGACTTATTGATATGCTAGGCAGTTAATTAAAATAATTGACACAAGTGGCTATTGAGGAATTTGATCACTTGCCTCAATAGGTCTCGAAATTTTCTGAATTTTGGGAAGGTGGTTAAAGATGTCCTGAGGGACAACCCCGTTCATCATGAAATGGGTGACAGTCACGTGACGTGAAGGTAGGCCCATGAAAAGAAAATTAGTGAGAAATAACGGCAAATTCGAAATTGGACAGATTTGAAATTGCCCGGTTAGAAATAACTGAGAAAATAGGGAAGAGTCCAAGTGAAATGGATTTTAGTTTGAAGTAACCAAATTCAAATTAGCAACTCCACTATCCCTTCAATATAAATTTACTATGGTATCATTAGAAAATGTTTTAAATTTCACCTCTCGTAAACCGATATATATATATATATATATATATATATATATATATATATATATATATATATATATATATATATATAT